GCCAAGGAGGCACAGAAAATGGCGTTTAGCTGCCCAGTTTTGTTTTTCCTTCAGTAATTATTATTCTCGGTGTTAGCAGATGAACTGTTAACGCTTGAACTTTTTAGTTCCAGGGGCGTGCTCCATGCAGGGTCAAATCCGGTAACTGCACAGAGTGCTAATGGTAGTAGAGACACATGGGGAGAATGCAGCAGGACAGAGATAAAAAAGAGCATTGTAACAAATTTCCGAAATGCAGCACACTTGACTACAGTGATTCAGTCACTCACAGCTAGAAAATGCTTCACAAAGGCACAGAGCATTTAACTGCTTTCTGCAATGTGACAATGGCACCTCCCTCGTTTTTTCAAACCAGTGGAGGATTATGGATGGAAAACATTAAATAAAGGTATTTTCATGGACACAAATAGAAGAGACTATCATGCTCCAAAGTTCAGCAGAACTTTTCATTTCATAGAATCATAAAACAATTCAGGTTGGAAAAGACCCTTGAGATCATCAAGTCCAACCATTAACCCTACACTGCATATCACCCAACACCAAATCTAAACGACACTTGAACCCATCCAGGGATGGCGACTCAACCACCTCCCTAGGCAGTCTGTTCCAGTGTCTGACCACTCTCTCTGTGAAGAATTTCTTCCTAATGTCCAGCCTAAACCTGCCCTGTTGCAACTTGCAACCAGTCCCCCTGGTTCTATCCCTAATTACCTGAGAGAAAAGAACAGCACCAACCTCTCTACAATGTCCTTTCAAGTAACTGCAGAGTATGATGAGGTTCCCCCTCAGCCTCCTCTTCGTCAAACTGAAACACATTATAACATATAATGTTATATATAAAATGTTACTAACATTTATGTTAGTATATACACATGGATGTAGTGATTTCAAGAGAAAAATATGGCGAAGCGTAAAATGATAGTAAGTCAAGAATACAAGCATTCTCACTTTTTATTATTATAACACAGACCAATGCTTATTTGACAGGTAATTCTCATTTGGACTCACACTTTAGCAGTAGGAACATGTGTCTCCTTTCGATGGCTAACTATGTAAGTCAGTCATCAGAAACAATGTTTCCTGTGATTATTTATGACTCATGGCAGTCTGTGGCCGTTTTTCAAAACGTCCTGCCTCAAAACGTTTGATGATGCATTCTGAAGCCACGGTGAACTTCTGAAACACCCATGTTTTGTTTTTTTTTTTCTTCCCTGAGCTAAAGGTCACTACAGTGGCAGGCACCCGCAGTGAAGCTGCTTTTCCAGCACATACTCCTTTGGCTGCACTCGGGAGCCAGGAAGGCAGCCAGGGAGCTCACGCCAACGCATCCGGACGTCCTAAACAGAGTGATGTTTCAAGCCTTACTCATAGAACCACGCCAAGGGTGAGAGGAAGGCCAAATCCTTTCCTCGCACCCTTCCAGGGGTGCGGGGAGGCCACCTCACTCCACGCCAGGAGCCAACGCCCCACCCG